AGGAACCAAAACCTTTAGTTAAATAATTCTTTACCCTCTTTGAAATAGCTAGCAGCGAATAAACATCAGGATTCCACTAAATGACTCTTGGTCAGACTTGCTAATGGAAATGTAACGAGCATCTGAGGAACACATGAACACTAATGTTATATCAGTGTTTAAATCCTCAGTGAATAAAGCTGGTCTAAGCTTTAGCAACAGCTCAACACATGTTCCTGTAGCATAGCGTAGCATAGCGTAGCATGCAGTCCATGCTTGTCTCTATTCATCTGTAAAAGACATATTGTTTTTTCTGTCCCTAATCATGCCAGAGCTGCAAACCTTTTTCTCCATATCCATTTGTAAAGGTTGAGTTTCCATCCAGCTGGAGTTTAGCACGCAGGCTAAACTGCAGGCCAGGCTCTCTCTGTCTTAAGCTCCCAGCAGGGCATGGTTCCCATCCAGTCTGGCTCTATAAGTTCTAAAACTCATCTTATCCTTGGTGATTCTGGAGATCTGGGTCTTTTTCTTGCTCCATTCTTGCAGGAGATCCTGCTGCAGCAGATCCCAGCTTCATGGGCAAGAGCTGTTTATTCACCAAACTTTTATTTCCTTCTCTGGTCATCCTGTCATCCATGAAATATGGACACTGATTCCAAATGTCCAAAAAGCATGATCATGGCATATGGCACAACAACGGTCAGGCCCATATTTCACTCTGTGAACAGGAGCTATTTTGGTCAGAAGGACGGCGAGCAGCGGCGTCGATGATCAGACTCCATTCTCCAAAGACGAGTCAGCATCGTTTGCTGTTAATTGAGTTAACGACTCTGAGGCAGAACAGATCGACCCGTGATCAGGCCGTCTGCATAACATCCAATCATTTCACTAACGTCTGCCTTTTCTCTCTGTTTACAGGCAGAAATATAAAAGTACATCCCAGAGGTAAGATACACACACACACACACCCACACACACGCACACGCACGCACACACACACACACACACACACACGCACACACACACACACACACACACACACACGCACGCACACACACACACGCACACACGCATGCGCGCATACACACGCACATGCACGCACACACGCACGCACACACACACACACGCACGCACACACACACACACACAGAGGTTAACTAGCTGTCAGCTGCAATGACACACATCACATTAATAAAGAAAGGCCTCCAGCTGCTGCAGGAGAGGATCTGCAGCTCTGATCACATTCAGATGAATTCAAAGAGTTTTATAGAAATAAATGACATGAAAATGAAAGTTGACATTAAATCTATAACAACCAACAAACAAAGCAGCTATTTAACAACAAAGGAGTAATTAGAAAACCAGCAGCTGTGTGATCTACAGGTGATGGTTTTAGTCTGATTCACCTGAACATGTTCAGTCTGAATGGCTCCTGATGGGAAGGAGGAGATGATCCATCTCTCTGGTTCTGGACAGAATGGCACCTCCTGCGTATTGGACTGCAAACCTGCTGGGGGAAACTTTTCAGCTTGTTTTAGTAAAATCAGTTTGGTGATCATGGATTCTCCCTCAGTAGGAGAGTCTCTATCATGTTCTACTTCTATAATGCAGGACTGTGGTGGATTTCCATCCTCTGCCTCCTACTGGGTGCTGAAGGCTGATCTATCCTCAGAAACCAGGTTGTCTGTGTGTCACAGTGAACGCAGATATGCTCCGCCCCTTCCGAAGACACTCTGCTGCACCTGTGACCGCAGACAGACAGACGTCGGTACATTTGCTTTAATCATCTTAATATTTAAGCCATGTAGAAATGAGCCTGTAATCCCGTATTATCCGGATTAGCATTCTTCAACATAGATTACAAAGCAAAGGACCGGATTAGAAAGAACTGATATCTGCAGAAACAGTTTGGTTTCCACTAAAATAAGATTCCAACCTTCTGTGTTTGAAAGCTGCTCGCTGTGGTTTCTGTCACCTGAACCAGTGATTCCAACGTTTTAACTGGTTTCCCTCTGGGCATTTTATCGTATCTCACAGCCTTATTCTAGACTTAGACAACCTTTACTGTCATTTTAAAAACTAATGTGGGATCGATTTCTGGTTTATAGCGATCTAAGTGGCATATTTAATGGAATTGTCGAGAGCTGTATCAAGCTGCTGCCTACAGTCGCCGTGTGCATTTTATCACCTCATAAATAAAATATTTTCCTGTACCCCTTGCAATGTACGGGCAGACCACTAGGGGTACGAGTATCTCGGTTAGGAATCACTGACCTAAACTCTCAGACATGCAGACATGAAGGAAATATAGACCCAGCTTTAGATGTGAGGAAATGGAAGATTTTTCCAGGTCATTCAGACTTTCGAGGAATGAAGCAGCTTTTTATTGCTTCTATCTCAGTGTTTGACTCTAAAGCTGCAGAGCAGACAGGCCTTCAAACGCCGCCGGATGATCCGGGACACGAAGAGCAGAAAATACTCTGATCTGAAGGACAACGAGAATCAGAGGAATATTTTCCTCCTGGAAGATCAATCTGACAATTATCCCCCAAACATCCACCTTTTTGGTTGAATTCACCCCGTATCCATGGAAACCAGTAAACATGACATCCAGCTGTCTGTCAGGCCTGCAGATGGTGCTTTGCCTTGATGCTGACTTCCTGTCTCAGTCAGAGACATAAACAGGACTGTCATCAGCATAGAGACAGATTTTAAGATCCACTTCGACCCGATCTTCTCTGAAACACACAAAGCGCTCTAATCATCAAATCGTCTCGCTGGCAGTGAGCTTTGGCTCTCTGTTCTTCTGGGAGATGAACCCTCATTTCCATCCACCCAGCATCATGTTGCCACCACCGTGTTTAATCATGGGGATCTTTAGGGTCAGTTTTCCATCATATATTCTGCATGATGGCAAAAATGCAAAGTTATGAAGCTTTCAGAGAAAAGAAAGAGATGAAATCACAGACAGAAAGACTCCATGATGTTTTCAGAGGTTTGTTGCACTTTGGGATAACAAAGTAAAAAGGCATCAATAAATCCACATTTTTGGTAACAAAAGATATTTTCTTTTTATATTTTCTTTGGCCCCATAAATTCCCATAAAATAACCAAACTATCTTCATTTACCAGATTGTGTCTCACTATAATCAGAAATTCCTTTACTAACCTGAAGAATATCAACTTAGGATTGTTTCCTCATGGTTTGGGAAGGGCGGTCACATGTTGCGGCACTCTAAGCCGTAACATCGTGGCGTTGGTTTCTCTGTAGCTACCAGTTGTTGGTAAAACCAGAAATAGATCACAACCATAAAACACTTCAGAAATTTGGTTTGATGGGAGATGAAGCTGAAAGGACACTGGAGCTTCTCTTTGGAGCCCATTGGGCGCCGAGCTGCAGGAAGGGGAGTATATAGAGGAACTATGTGTTCATCGGACAGCCGGCTGCAGCCTGAAGCGGCTCAGAGTGTTTTTTATTTCGCTGTCTATGAGCTGAACTCTGCTGGGTGGCCATCAGACTCTGACAGCAAGTCAGCTGCATCGATCTGCTGGATGACAGGGTGAGAAAAAACACTGAGCAGATGGAAAAAGATGGCGGGTATTAAATAATTAACTATAACTATAACTCAAAAACAAACCTTCATCACTAGAGCTTAGTTCTCAGACTTTATCCCTATTGGAGTCTCTTCTAAAACAAACATTTTGGTAACTGAGGCAGCAGCCATCAGAATCAACATCCCTGCAGCAGAGGGGCCCTTAGCCTCCGGCTAGCACAGCGGGTCCAAACCTCCAGAGAAATGCTCTCAGTCTTACTGGGATTCCCAGTTTCCACAGCAGGCAGTCCGGTTATCCTCAGGTCCCAGCTCTCCCTCACCATCCTGAGGGATTTATTTTTAAAATGTGTTTACCTCTCAGAGGTCCTTCAGGGACATCATGGCTGCCTCTCTGCATATCTGAACATTGTTAAAAATCCAGCAGACGGACTTCATCACCATGGACAGTGCTAAGAGGACTGCAACATGGCTGCAACAGTTTTTCTTTTACGTTTATAGTTTTCATGTTTGTAAAATAATTATTGATAATAGTGAGACATAATCTAGTAACTTTAGTTAGTTTAGTTCATCTGTTCATTTCCAGTTTAACTTAACTTGAAGGCTTGATTTGAGGAACTCGTGATGTTGGAAGGTCACCTGCTGTGCACCAAACTTCTCTGACCTCCTGGACCTCTTCTCTCCGTTCAGAAAAAGGCTGATTGCAGCCACAGATTGGATGGAAGTGTGTGTTGAACGGAAACTTTGACATCTTGCATCCAGTAACAGTATTCTGACCTCATTCCAGATAGAAATAGAAAACACAGAATGAATTCAGAAATGTTTCAGTTCCAAATAAAAGCTAAATGTTTCTACAAACGGCTGAGAGCAGGAAGGATGTCAGTCTGAATCACAGCAGCTCTAACTGAGGAAGATGATCCATCAATGTTCTTCATCTGATGAGGAACCCTTCATCTCCAGAGGTTCTAGAGGAGTTCCTAGAACAGAGCCGGCCTTCTTTATCAGCTGGTTGAGCTTCTTCCAGTCATTAGCTCTGATGGTGATGATGATGATGATGATTATGATGATGGTGATGATGATGATGGTGAGGATGGTGATGATGGTGAAGATGATGATGATGACGTTGGTGATGGTGATGATGATGATGTGATGATGATGGTGATGATGATGATGGTGGTGATGAAGATGAGGATGATGTGATGATGATGGTGGTGATGATGATGGGATGATGATGGTGGTGATGATGATGATGATGAAGATGATGGTGGTGATGATGGTGAAGATGATGATGGTGATGATGATGATGGGATGATGATGATGGTGGTGATGATGATGGTGATGATGGAGAGTCTGCATGTTTCTCCCTGAGCATAACTGGGTTCTCTCTGGGTACCCCGGCTTCCTCCCATTGTCCAGAAACATAGGCGTTAGGTGTCATTAGGTGTGAGTGTTCATGATGGGGTCTCTCTGCGTTCCCCTGGTGACCCGTTCAGGGGGGACCCCCCACCGGCTATAGACTGTGGAAGATAGACACCGGCCCCAATAAGCAGGAGAAGACGGAGAAATTATCAACAGCTTCAATTCAAGGTAACCCAGAGGCTGCAGAGTCCTCTGAGAACCTCAGTAGAACTCAGAGATCAGGCAGGCGTGCTGCCAGGGGGCTGTGAGGAGCACCAGGAGGAGTGGACTGATCAGCAACTCATGAGGAGGAACCAACAGGCTGCTCCCTGCTGCTGCACGGCAGCACAGATGGAGCTGCTTAATGGAGCACAGGTGAAGCAGCTGCAGGTTTGTCAGGCGCAGAAAACAGCTGTCAGACCCATTAACACACAGGATGAGAGAGAAAGCAGAGACCATCAGACTGAAGCTTTCACTGGAAGAAGAACAGAGAAGCACGAATAACTGCCTGCTGTAGAGAAATCTGTTCAGGGTCATTTCATATCAACAGGGGCCACAACTGACTCTAATAGAAGATGATCTATGAAGATGGTGGTCAGAACAGAACCAGGACCAGGGAGGGGACCGATCCGAACCATCTCTGTGTTCTTCAGGCCCTTTATCTGCAAATCTATCTGCTCTGAAAATGGTTTTTCTACAATCCTATTCAGTTCTTTTTAGCCGATTTCTATCAAAAACAGAAAAACTTCATTTAATCCAATTCAGTTTATTTCCATAGATCCGATTCACATCATCTCATCTCAGGTCACTTTATAGATCCAGATCAACCAGATCATCCAGTCAGATTGATTCAAAGTTTTCTATCTAAGGAAAACCAGCTGATTGCATCGACTCATTGACTCTTCAGCAATCCCTCACACTAAGCATGCTTGTAGCGACAGTGGAGAGGAAAAACTCCCTTTGAACAGGAAGAAACCTCCAGCAGAACCAGGCTCAGTGTGAGCAGCCATCTGCTGAGGCCCACTGGGGTTCAAGGAGACAGAAGCAGACATAGAAAAAGAAGCATAGATACAAAAGGCAACTGTCAACCAGCTCCACAGGCGGCCCCGTCCAGGAAACACACAGCCAGGCAGACGAGCTCCGAGCCAGCTCCCATGTCAGAGGATGAAGAGAGCACATCCAGTTAGTCACAGTCAGAGAAACAGGACTACACTGGAAAACAGGCCAAGCTCCAACATCTAGAAACAAAGGTGTTGATGGCAGCAGCACAGCTGATATTTCTCTCCAGGATGGAGTCACAGCCAAACAGGAACAGACCAGATGAAGCTACTATGAGAAAAAGCAGAGAGAGCAGAACGTTAGAGATTGAACTAACAGATTCTGCAGAGTGGGAGAATAGAGATAGAATGAAGCAGAATGATGGAAAAGGGGTCCCTATGTCCTCCAGCAGTCTAAGCCTATAGCAGCAGAACTATAGAGATAGCTCAGGATATTAATCTAGGCTTTCTCAGCTGCTCGGTTTCACTTTATTTGGTTCTGTTAGATTTCCTCTGATTGGTCGTTTCTCTATTCCCCACAACAGACAGTATTTCTTTTCTATTCTGTTTTATTGCATTTTATTCAATTATATTCTATTTCAGTCCACTCTACTCCTTTCTTTTTTTTCTATTCTGTTGCATTATATTGTTTCTCATCTGTTCTATTCTATTCCGTTTTATTCTTGTCTGTTCTATTTGTTTCTTTCTTGTTCTACTCTATTCAGTTCTTCTGTAGTTTGCTTTACTGTTTTCTATTCTTGTCTGTTCTGTTAAACCCTATTCTATTATTTTCTAATCAATTATTTTTGTTCTGTTCTTTTCTACACTTTTCTTTTCGTTGAAAACAGTGATGGATGCTGGGATCTGACTGATCAGCCTGAAGTTCTCCTTTAATCTGTGCAGAAGTGTCTCTGTAGTCTCCATTCCTATCATCCGTCTCTCTGATTAGTTTTCCTGCAGCATCCAGGGATGTTGGTCACAGTCCATGGATCCTACATGTAGGAACATCAGCTGCTTGGAGACGCTCTGATAGCCTTTAGCTTCAACATGCAGCTCTAGCATGTTCTATCTAATCTCCTCAGACAACTCTTTCCTTCTCTGGTCCATGTTGAGTGTGAGACGCACCACGTCACCAAACAGTGTCCACCTGTAGCCTTATATATAGGCCCACTGCCTGGTTGCTAGACTGCAGAGACCTGTGATGCTGATTGGTGGACACACCTTGACCTAACGTCCCTTTGATCACATTGTTTCCAGGGTTTTCCAGACGACCAATTATTTTGATGCAGGTCTTTTTCATCAGTTTATTCTATATATATATGTTAGTTTTTACGGCTCTATTGGCTTGTTTTTTCGACAGCAGGCTGACAGGAAAGGGGGGAGGGGGAAGACATGCGGGTAAGGACCACAGGCCAGATTCGAACCCGAGTCGCCCGCGTCCAGATTTTAGTCACATTCCAGAGATTTTTTGTCACCATCGTTTGTTTTCCTTTCATTTAAAAGACTCTGACTAAATCTGGAACACCAGGTTCAGAAAGTTGGAGGAAAAAAATCTATTTAATCTTGTTTGATTTATTATCCATCAATCTCAAGCTATTTATGAAATAATGAAAAGCAAACAGTGCTGACCCCTACAGTGGACCGAGCAGATATTGCTGATTGGACCGAGCAGATATTGCTGATTGGACCGAGCAGATATTGCTGATTGGACCGAGCAGATATTGCTGATTGGACCTCTGTGACTGACTGCGGAGTAACGATCATCTCTGATATCTGCCGATATAATTATAAAAATCTTTATCGTCTAGTCGAACCGGACTGACTGTTGCATCGTGGGCGGATCTAGCAACTTCTCTGACCCGCCATGGAAAAGCAAAGAGCATAAAGCTGCTTTGGCAGCTGGTTTTTCCCTGAGGCGCGTTTAGCGGCGGCTGATTGACGGCAGCCACGGTGCCATGAGCATCGTCTGGATGGAGCAGATCTTCAGGGTGGTGTGAACGGGACAGCAGCTGTGTGGGCGTCTGGAGGCTCCTGTCAGCTGCAGGACACAGATGGACGGATGCAGATAGTTTAATATAGATTCACAATAATGAAGCATTAAAACAACAAAACAGTAGATTCATGTTTTTACAATATTTTTTTATATTTCTTATGTTTTTTTCCATTAAATGCTGAATACTTCAGTTAAACATGGAAATAGTTATAATAAGGATCATCCAACCTTTTTCATAATCTGAGCTTTTATGAAATAATAATAAAGCTGATAAACTTAAAAAAAAAAAAATAAAAAGCTTCCCATCAGTATGAAACTTCAGGAACTCATCAGGAAAGTTCTGGATTCTAGAGGCTGTTTTTGTGGTTGCCATGGTGACGTGAAAAGCTTTGATATTCCTTCTTCTGTTCTCTTCTTCTTGGTCATCTGTAATAACCAGATCTTCAGGGATTTGAGCCACAGAGCAACCTGGAAAGGAAGGGAGACTTTTTACACATCTAGAACAAACATTTCTGACATTTAGAATGAGTTTAGAAGAAAACGGAATTCTTTTTAAACAGCCTTTAAAGTCTGGAGAGGTTTTATATGTTTAGATCGCTGATAGAAACACAAGATGCTGCTTTATTCCAGCTGCGCCTCATTGGCCCCAATAGGAGATTACAGATTAAAACCAGACAAAGAAAGTCTTGTTCTTTTGTTCCCTCACATATTTTATGAGTTCCAGCATAAATTTCATGGACTTCAGAAAATTGATCAACTGTCTCCAAAAACAGATCAGAGAGTCTGAATGTGGGAAGGCATCAAAAACAGACTTATTTTTAGTGAAAATCGCAGCATGAGTGAACGGACGGCTAAATAAAGAAACTCAGAAGATATGAGTTCAGAAGGATCTGGTCTATTATTGATGGTTTTTAATGTCGTCTCAGGAGAAATAAAACACCGGATCAAACCTCCGTTCCCCAGTTACACATCCAGAGGTTGATCTTCCAAGACTGGGAAACATTTTACTGATTGATTCCTAACCTTCTGCAGGTGTTTCTGAGGGAATAGTTAAGCTAACCACTAGACCATCACTCAGTTTATGTTCCTCCTTTCTTTCTCAGCTGCTTCCCTTTTCTTTGAGTCAAACTTTCCAGAGTTTTATTAATTTAAACTTGGCCTTCTAGTCATTTTTGGACCCAGCTGGTTTTAGGACCGTTTCAGTCGATGAATCGCTGCTTTTATTGGATTTTTGGTGTTTGACTTCCACTGGATTAAATTTGATTCCACTGTCAGATCTTGAATTTTAATGCTTTATTCCTGAGCTTTATGCTTTAACTGATGCCTTATTTAACTTTAGAGGCTCTGAGTTGCAGCTGCAGTTAATAAATAATAAAGTCAACAGGTACAGTCTGTTCATTTAGTGATTGGGTGTTAATTAATGGATTCACACTAATTGGTTTTATTTTGTCAAACATTAAAACAGTCACCATTTTCCTTTGAATTTACATGTTTTTATTTCATTTTTTATTGCATCCATTAATAAAAGCTTCTGTCCAGTTAAAGCAGGCAGTAAACAACAGATGTTTATAAATCAGACCTCATTAACTTTATCATTTGGTTTGAACTCCTGAGTTGCTTTTCCTGGAGATTAGGAGGAATATTAAATTATTTCATTCATCCTTCTGGTCCAGGCTGAAGGCCGCGCTGGAGCAGATGGACCGCGGTGTGGTGGACCTGCAGGAGCTCCGCAGGAACCTGGAGCTGGCCGCCGCCATGCTGGACGCAGTTTACACGGATGAGACCAGGTGAGGCGGAGCGCAGCGCAGCGACAGGTGATGGTCCAGGACGCATGCGTCATGGAGCCCTTCTTCTCTGCAGGCGCCTGTTGGACACGGAGGATGAGCTCAGCGACCTGCAGGCGGAGTCTGTGCCCAGCGAGGTGCGTGATTGGCTGGCGTGCACTTTCAGCAGGAGGATGGGCGTGGCCAAACGCCGCCCCGAGGAGAAGCCGAGATTCAGGAGCATCGTTCATGCGGTGCAAGCTGGGATCTTTGTGGAAAGGTAAACACGCCCCCCTTCTGAGAAACTGCAGGTTTTTACTGGGAAACATTTCTGGGATCATTTCTGAATCAAATCTGCTTTTCCCTCTGAAATCATTAAAGAAGCATTTAAACACTCATTATCTTCCTGTTGCTCATAATATGATCATCCTTCCATTAACGCCACATTTCAACGCTGCTAATTATTCACCGTTTCAATGCAGATCTGAATAGAGTTGCTCTTTATTTCCTGGAAGATTTCTTTGTTTTTGGTCCAAATATTTTAGTTTTGTTCTTGTGAATTCGAACATGGAGGTGAACCCCAACACCCCCCACCCCCCAACACTAAACCCAACCACTACCAATGCATACCTCACCCTAACCCAATGACACCTTTGCCCTAAACAGAACTATTAGCAAAATAGCTTGTGAGGATCAGCAAAATGTCCTGTTCACTTTGCAGCAACTGGTTGATGGTGAAGCTGGAAAAATGGTCCTCACTCGGAGGGCTACACACACACACACACACACACACACACACACACACACACACACAGTGTTGCTATATGTTGTGAGGACCATGTGTTTGACTTCTATTGATTTTCAGTCATTTCTAGGCTGTAATATTAGCCCTAAGCTAACCGTTATCCTCACTCCAAACTCTGGAACCGGTCCTCACTCTTATTCTAAAACAGGAGAACACAAACACATCCTAACCTGTTCAGTAAAATCAGCTGTTGGTGAGGTTGTGGTTCCTCAGGTCTGCGTTTGCTGATCTACTGCAGTGTTTCTCTGCAGTGATGCAGTTTATGCAGCGATTCTCGCCTCAGTGGGAAACTGTTTAGATGAACAGAGCTGATGTCCTGGCAGACAAACAGGAAGCTGTTCCTCAGCAGCGCTCAGGGTTTAAGTTTAACCACAGTCAGGCCGTGTTCCACATGTTGCTGCCAGAGTTGCACCTTCAGGCTGATTCTCATAAGCAGGTTTTCCTTTCTGCCTTTCATTCATGTGTTCGTTCAGATTATGAAAACTATCTGTCATTTCTGCACAGCAATCTGAGCTGTAATCTGTAGAAACGCTCTAAGTTCCTCCTTCAGCTCAGTGAGGCGCTGCTGCTCCTCACAGTGCGTCCAGGCAGCTCGCTCCGAGCTTTAAGCTTCAAACAAAGATGCTAATATGGGACTTTTCTTTTCACAAGTTGGTTCTTAACCAAGTTGACAATGAGGACGTCATCAACCAACACTGGGACCAGTTCTGCTGGCAAAGTCTGTTCAACGACGGCCTGCAGAAAACTACGCATCACAATAACAGCTTATTTAGGCCACAGCTGTGTTTTTATTGAATTATTTTTCAATATTATTAAAGCTGATTATCAGCTGATAGATTTAAATAACTTTTTAAATGATCCTTGGAAAAACTCATCAAACTACATGAAGTCCATAATTATAAGACTTAATATACATATATAGATATATCCATATATTGTTGGTCTGTTTATGCAAAAACATAATAAATAAAATAAACAAACGTTTGAGGAAGTTGGGATTAATAAAAGCAGCAGATAATCTGCTGTGCGTCTCTTAAACGCCTCAACTGGGATATTTTTCCCTTTGATTCAAGTAAACATGAAGCAGTTATTTTATAAAAACCTTCACCTTGTTTTAGACACACAAACCCTGAGGGGGCGAGTGTGGAATAGTTTTTTTAAACGTCTTCTAAAATCATAAGAAAATCTAAATGTTAAATCTGGCGCTGAGCTCCGCGTGTGAACGGATGACCAGTCACCTCAGAAAGACACCAGCAACCAACATGGCAACCTTTTCCTGTCGTGTTGGAGACTTTGGTGACGACGCATGGAAGCCATGATTGTTCGGAGTTTAACGACGTTCTTCAGTGAGGAGTGAGCCCCTCCCTCCCCTGAAGCACTGACAGGGAGTCAGACGCAGCTCTGCAGCCGACGCCTGCAGGCAGAGGGAGCGTTTCTCTGACTGATAATCAGTCACACATGGAAAAGCTTCCACAACCACAATGAAAATATCATGATATTTATCTTTTTAGTCTTTGAAACTTGTTGCATTAATCCACCC